GTTTGTCTTTGGTGATGGAGGAAGGGCACATTCTTCATTCACTCAACTCATATCAGAGTGCCTGTGGGTGCCTGGTCTCCCCCAGTTCTGGGGAGGGGGCCACGCTCTGGAAGATCAACTTTGCCCAAAGCTACATCAGAAAAAAGAGCCTTAGACTCTGAATTCCAGAGAAGTTACCTCTTTCCACATGGGTGCCCGGTGCCCACAGGCAAACCACTGACTTCGGAGGCTGTGTAGTCAGTGCTCAAATAAGGCATCTGGTTGACCTGGCTGGCCTTCCAGCACCCACGGGCCAAAGATGAGATGGGCCGGGGTTGGCAGGGGGAAGCGCGTGTGCAGCAGGCAGTTCTGGACCTGGCTCCACTCCAAAGCTCCTGGGGCCCTGGGCCTGCTTCCCAAGCAAGGAGACTGTGCTGAGAGTGGGGCCTCCCCTTCCCTCTTACCACGTGCCTGGCCCTGCCCAGGCGCTCAGCAGGCAGGAGTCACTATTCATTCACTTGATCCACCCACACAGAGCAGAACCAGAATTACTTCTCAGCAGGGTGCACAGATGGCCCCTCCAGGACAGGGCCCCGCCCCCACCCCAAGCTCCCGGCCCCAGGCCCTGGGCCAAAGGGGTCTGGGAGGGAGAGGGAGTTTGGAATGGAGACTCCTCAAGTTCCTGCTCCTAGCCAAGCTTCCCAGTCTGTGTGGCTGCTTCTCCCTCCTTCTCATCAGAACCTAACCCCAGGCACAGTTATTGTGTAATTGGACCCAAGCCCAGCGCCCAACAGTCTATACAGAGCCCTTAGCAGCCTCACACTATCTGCATGTTTCCTGAGCCCTCAGCCCCAGCCAGCTCTAACAGACTGAAGTTTGGGGGCCAGGCGCTTCGGGTGGCTAGAGCCTGTAATCCCAGCTCTTTAGCAGACCAGAGGGAGGAGGATCGCTTGAGCCCAGGAGCTCGAGGCCAGCCTGGGCGACATGAGGAGTCCACATCTCTGATAAATTTTTAGAAAGAAAAGAAAATGAAAGGGAAGCTTGGGAATCTGGAGGCTGAGCCAAGGCCTCACCAGGTCTTCCCATCACCGGGTGTGCGCTTGCTGGGAGCCGAGGATCAAAGCCCAGGTCCCCTAGGTCTTGATCTACCCCTGGGGAGAGAACAGGTCTGTTCCTGCCCTAAGACCTGCAGCCTGACCCGGCTGCTCGAAAGCGGACTCTCCACTTCTCAGAGACTACTGAGGCCAGGCCAGCCCTCCTCAGGAACAGCCCCCGCGGACTGGGAGAGGAGTTTCCTCTCTTTCACAATGACCCTGTCTCCCTGGAGGGGGCAGTCGCCGAGGGGCCAAAGGCAACAGCAGCCCGGATGGAGGATATTCCTGGCACCGCCCCTCCCTCAGAGCCCAGCCCAGGCCAGCAGGAAACCCGCCGCGAGGCCGCGAGACTGCGAGACTGCCAGCCCCACCGGGCAGAGCCGGGTGGCTGCCGCCCCCTGCAGGGAAGGGAGCCAGGGCCACCACGCCCATCTGTCCAGGGTAAACTGAGGCTGCGGGGAAAGCGATACGTCCAAGCCCGAGAGGGGATGGAATCCTGGTTTTACGTAGAGAAATAGAGGTGGAGACAGACGGCGAGTCGGAGAGAGGGAGAGAGAGTCGGGAGCCCCCCACACGCTCCGGACTCCCCAGTTCTCCATGTGGGGGCTTCATGACACAGAGGAAGCCGGATCCGCGAATGAGTCCCGAAGGGACCCGGCTGCGCAGGGAACAAATAACCAGACCCGCTCCTCGGACCCGGGGACTCGCGCCCCCGCCGCGTCACCCAGGCTCCAGGAACCTGGGATCCGACGCCAGGCGTCTGAGCATCGCGAGCCTCTTCCCTCCTGCCTGAGTCCCACTCCCGGGCGAGTGGCGATCGGGGGTCCGCCCTCTGCCTCCGCGGGCCCCGGAACGCGCGTCTCCTCCGCCTCCTCGGCTGGGTCCGGGAAGGGGGTGCCCTAGGCTAGGAAGTGGGCAGCGAGAGGGGCCGAGGGCTCCTTACCGGGCTCGGGCAGCGGTGGTAGGCGGCAGAGCAGGGCCGGCAGGGGTGCGCATACCAGGTTATAAGCACAGGGCCCGGGGGGCAGGGCCGGCGACCGGGGACACGTGGGGGGGTCCGCCCTCTGCCTCCGCGGGCCCCGGAACGCGCGTCTCCTCCGCCTCCTCGGCTGGGTCCGGGAAGGGGGTGCCCTAGGCTAGGAAGTG